TGAGTATTTCTGTGAGGTCATGGGGGAGGGGAAATCCCTCAGCCAGGAAAACATCGTGGCATAAAGTGGGGATGACCCTGCTGAGGCTGCGGTGCCTCAAATATTGGAGGAAGTCACCCCCTGTGAGTGGCTGGCTGAGGTGCCATCTGTTGAGGAAGTACTGAAGGCGATCCGGAGTCTGAGACCAGGAAAGGCACCGGGCAGAGATGATCTCCCAAGCAAAATGCTAAGGGAGGGTGGCGTTTGTGCACAGACTGCCCTATATGACATCATAACAACAGTCTGGACCACTGGACGGGTTCCGCAGGATTGGAAGGATGCCCTGGTGGTCCCCCTCTTTAAGAAGGGGGACCGCACAGACTGTAACAACTACAGGGGCATCTCACTCCTCAGTGTGCCGGGAAAGGTCCTGGCAAGGATTATTCAACATCGCCTTTCCAGGCACGCTGAGGAGAGGCTTGCGGAGCCCCAATGCGGTTTCAGGAAAGGGCGGTCCTGCACAGATGCCATATTTACTGTCCGTCTGCTACAGCAGAGGTGTAGGGATTTCCAGCAAGACCTACATCTCTGATTTATTGACCTGGTCAAGGCCTATGATACCATCAGTAGGCCTGGACTCTGGGTTGTTCTTCGTGCTTTTGGAGTCCCTGACCCTCTGCTCACGATCATTAAGGACCCTCACGATGGTGAGCGGGCCGGGGTAAAACTACGTGGCCGGGAGTCAGAGCCATTCCCTGTACACCTTGGGGTGCGACAGGGATGTCCTCTGGCTCCCACATTATTTAACATCTATTTTGACCACGTAGTTCGTGAAGCCTTCAATAGCTGTACCGGGGGAATCTCCATTTGGTACAGATATAATGGGAGGCTGATCGATGCCCGGGTGCGGTCAAGGGATGGCTCCCTATTGCTCAACCACGTTATGTATGCCGATGATTTGGTAATACCTGCTCATTCAGAGGAGGAGTTGGAGACGCTGCTGCTGAGACTGGAGCGTGCCACTAAGAGATGGGGCCTTACCATCAGCCCCACCAAAACTAAGCACCTGCCTGGGTATTTTGTACCATCGAACACTCCACCCCCACAACTCCCAATCAGTGATGGGGCAGTTGTGGAGAGAGTGGAGAGTTTCCCATACCTGGGCAGTGTGCTTATGACCGGCTCGAGTTTAACAGCAGAGGTCTCACTCCGAATCAGTCAAGCGGCAATATATTTTCATCGGTTGCGTAACGCTGTGTGGAAGCTACCTGGTCTGTCGCTCCGCACTAAGCTTCAGGTCTTCTCGGCCACGGTCATTCCCTCCCTTCTCTACGCTTGCGAAACGTGGACCCCCCCTAATGGAACATCTTCGCCGGTTAGAAACATTTAGGCTAGCCTGCCTACGATCCATCCTGGGTTTAACCAGGCTGGATTGTGCGAGGAGCTCACAAATCCTTGAAAGATCTGGGCAAGGTCCCATCGGTGAGCTCCTCCGGCAGGCAAGGCTGCATTGACTGGGTAGCCCACATGCCCAGCCACTGCATGCCAAAACAGCTTTTGTTCGGCCGGATCGAGGGGGCTAAACGGGCGCGGCATGGACTAGAGAAGAGATGGAGTGATGTGGTACAGGAGGACGTGGAGCTGAGTGGACTTGCCGATGACTGGTACCAGCGGTGTCAAGATCAACCTCTGTGGAGGAGGCTCGTGAACGATGCTACTGGGCAGTTGGAGGCAGTCGCCCTCCAACAACAACGGAGGGCGGAGGAGCGACGTTCACAACAACGAGCGGAGCGCCGGGTGGCTAAACCGTCGCCACTCGGGAGACAAAGGCGTGCGTCTGCGTGCATCTGCGTAAGTGCGATACGCACCGGGCTCCTGCCGCATTCCCGGGACGCCGTTTCGTGCCGTTTGCGAGGAGCAAAAAAAATAATTTCTCAAAATGTACCAACGCGGAAGAAAGATGTCTTCGCAGAGCGGTGACAAGACACGCGTTGCTGCTCCCGGACTACAGTTAATCCCCCGGTGCTTTTATTGCATGGCGAGTTCGGGCCACCCGGGCCTGTCCACGATTGTCTGTCCACGATGTTAACTTCTCCCGCTGTGTAAATTAGCGGAGGCAAGTTGACTCAGGAAAGGGAGAGAGGGGGAAAAAAAAACATTCCGAAGTCCAGAAAACCCACGGTATACTGAGAATATTTCACTGCAAACACAAAGAGAATTTGTCACTGCAAACATGTGATGCGGACTGCCCGTGTATATTGACTCATGTTGACTCCTGTTGATCCTGTTTAAGAGTTTCAGTTTGTCGTCCACACCCCCACCACACCTCCGATTAGCACGGTTGGCTACGTACAGCGCGAAAGAAGTTCAACGTACAGTACACGTGGATACCAATGGCACTTTGACAGCAGTGTAGTCATTATGGTGCGGAATGCAGGTAACCCGTACCGTGTTGTGATTATTGTTGTAGTTGTCATGTAATCTCGGGACGAACATATTACAATCGTGAAACCCGCATCGGGAAAGCTGGAGACAGTCCTCAATCGTTCAGTTACACGGGCCAAGGACTAACTCGCAGCCTCAAAGTGTCAGGCTTGAGCTCTAGTCGAACGCAAATGAGCGTGGCCAATGTTTAGACTCGCACGGATGGGGGTCTCCCCATACCCCGTGGGAAGCACACAGATAGACCGACAATTCACTGTTGTACGAGGGCCTCACCACAACACCACATGGGCCCCATGCAGTGCGGGTTGGATGATCGTAAATTCAACAAAATGGATCTAAAAAATAAATAATCAGAGAACAAAGGTTTAGGTGCAGCGCTGTACGCACGGAGGATCAGACAAAGATCCCACGTATCGCCTTCAACAGGCTGTTGGAGCAAGTGCTGATAGTGAGCACCTATCTATTAAAGGCTGGCACGGCACACAAAGAGGGGGGTGGGGGGGGGGCTGAATACCAGCACCACACCCGGCCGCCTTTGTCTCCCCGGTGCTCCAAACACTCGTTTAAGGCTGAAACACGACCGAGGGGAGGCCCAGGATCAGTTCAGACATTCGTCGCCAATGTTGCGTGAATATAAATGTGTCGATAAACCCACCACCACCCGACACAACCAACTGGAAGGTTTGTGACGTAAACAGAACGTGCCAATTCGTTACTAGTACAGCACGCCGGTGTGTTAGCGGGTTTCACGACACATTTATATTTACGCCATCTAACCAAAAAAAAAACCTATGTTATGGATGATATTGGTCACGAAAGTCTACTACGTGTTAAACTTGCGTTAAGTAAATATACGCACACGCGAGGTGGAAAGTTTCGGGAACGGCTGCCAAATTAGTCACGGTGAAGTCAGGCCGATTATAACGAACGCCGCATCGCTGTGAGCTGCGCTGTCGCGGATCGCAGATCATCAGCGGCGCTGACGTTAGAGGGATGAAGACGGGAACATGAAATAACGAGCACGAGGGGTTCGAATTGCAAATAACCCTCGTCAACATGCCCGTATGTACGCGCGAGTTATGCGTTTTACACGTGCGTGCGTGCGTGCGTGCGTGCGGGCGAGTGGTAGTGCAGCGGTTAACGTCGTCTGCGCCACGAACCTGGCAAACTGGGTTCGACTCCCGCTCGTGGTCAACACCGCACCACCTCCGCACGGCGCGAAAGAAGTTCAACGTAACGCGTGCACAGTGACGATTATCTGAACCGGTCCTGGGCCTCGCCTCGGTCGGTGAAAACCTCAAATGTGTACTTGGTGGGGTGTATAAACATCGCCACTGGGGAGACAAAGGCGTCCGGGCGTGGTGCTAGGCCATCCACCCCATCGTGTGCCGTGCCAGCCTTTGTAGGTGCTACTCGCTAACAGCACTTGCCTAAACAGTCTGTTAGGGCTACACACGGGGGATCTTTGTGCGCGGGCGAAAAGGATGACACTCAAAAAATCTTTATCCAGACTGGAGGAGGAATCCGATGAGCTATGAAGCTCTTTTTCGCAGATTCCCAGCATGGGCGGCTCAGGATGTTGTTGGTGAGCCCCGCTACGGAACCCAGCGGACCACAGCTCGATTCCCAGCCATGGCCAAGAACTTGTCGACCCAAGGGAAGGCCCCCAGCACTTGGCCTCAATGAACACATCAGTACTTGGCTAGACGAAGATGACAGCGGGGGGGGTGAGGCGATGGTTTTTCCGGCCACACCAATCCCTCGTGCACCATGCCAGCGGACTTAACAGGCGCTCACTAACAGGAGCACTTGCTTCACACCACCCCTCCCCCCGCACTCAAGCGATCTTTGTGTGTGCGTGTCGGTGAGGCAACGTTAATCCAATTCCACAACGACATCATCGTGGCGTGGCTGCCGACATGCCACGTGTGGGGGGGTGTGTGGGGGGGTGTGTGGGGGGGTGTGTGGGGGGGTGTGGGGGGGCTTGTGGGGGGAGACGACAGAGTGGTGAGCACACCGCTGCGTTGCTCGAACTCAGCGTGCTCGAAGTTCGATTCCGGCTCACAGCCGACGCCGGTGACGAATACCTGAAAAGGTCCAGAGCCTCCCTCCTCACCAACCCCACTAGGTCCGCTCAGCCTTAAATGTAACTGCCGCCACTCACCGCCGACGACGGCCTTGGGACCGAACGTCCTTGTAAGAGAGCCGTCTGGCTCTTTGTGTTGTGTGTAAATGTCATCAATGGGGGAGAGACAAAGGCGGCCGGGCGTGGTTGCTGGCAACCCTTCATAGGTGTTTACTCGCTAACAGCACTTGCCCCAACAGCCTGTTAAAGGCTACACACGGGGGTGGGGGATCTTTGTCGTTGTGTGCTGTTGGTAACAACAACAACACAAAACCGCAACACAATAGCTCAACGCGGAACCTGGCCACCACCGTTTCATAAAATGATCTTCAAAAATCGAGTTCCCGGAATGTTCACGTCATTTCCACAACCCCTGCAAGCAAGCACGGCTCTCACCCCACACCCACCCACCACTACCTGCACCCCCCCACCAACCCACCCATACCCCTCCACTAGTAGTAGTAACCACTCCAATAACAAACCCCAACCCACAAGGGCGGCAAGGGTGGGTGGGTACAGAGTCCACGGACACTAGTGCTGTGCAGGAGAACACTTTCAAAGCCACGGTTGCAAGAACACTTTTTTTTATTCCTCGCCGAGCCAGTACACGCGCCAACCCGTTGGGTCAACGTTGGCCCAACGTTGTGGTTGGAACCGTTGGAACAACATAGGAACAACGTTGGCAGGAACAACGTTGGCAGGAACAACGTTAGCCCGACAACGTTCCGTGTTTAGCGGGCAGCTCGACCTGCTCGCAATGAGATCACACGCACACAAAGACAAAGATCCCCTGTATAGCCTCAGACTGTTGGGGCAAGCGCTGTTAGCGAGCGGCACCTATGAAGGCCGGCACGGCACCGACGCCCGGCTGCCTTTGTCTCCCCCCCCCCCAGTGACAATGTTTACACGACCGCACCAAGGTAGGCCGAATCGACAGACACACGCGCTTCATTTCGTATGTAGGTCGATGTACGTTGAACTTCTTTCGCGCCGTACGCAGCCGTCGTCATGGTCTCGAGACCGAGACCATAACGACGGCTTCTCGCTCTCCGCCTTACATCACGCAGCAATGCAAGACGCACAGAGAGCGAGAGAATGGAAAGGGCGATGCAATGGGACTGGCATTAAAGAACGAATCGATAATAACGGAGGAGCGGCACTGTACCGGTGCGAGAATGCGGCACGCCATGCCGCACGCGCTCAGAGCGTGCAGGGAATTCGCCTTTTTTTTTTACACACAACCTTATTCGAAGTTGAAGTGCATTTCACATTTTTTCTTTCCTGTATTTTTTTGTGTGTGCGTGTGCGCCTGTGTGCGTGCGCGCGTTATGGGGAGCGGTGGTGTGGCGGTTAGCGCTACGCTGCGCTACGAACCTGGCGACCCGGGTTCGATTCCCGCTCACGGCCAACACCGGTGACGATTATCTGAACCGGTCCTGGGCCTCCCCTAGGTCGACTCAGCCTTAAATGAGTACCTGGTGCGATACGTGCATTGGGGAGACGAAGGCGGTCAGGCTTAGCCACCCCCCCCCCCCCCCCCCGTGTACCGCTCCAGCCTTCATTAGGTGCTCGCTAACAGCACTTTCCCAAACAGTATGTTAAGGCTACACGGGGATTCTTTGTTTTCACCCAAGCTTGTACCACTGCTGCTACTCATGTGATGTGGTAAACGCATTCAGATGTTGCGTGTGGGGGGGGGGGAGGAGGAAGGGGGGGTTACTGTTTTAAGATAATCAAGCTCGAGTACATTCCTACGTTTATTAGCCCTGGCCTCAAACTTTCTGACCACCCCTTGGTAGCCAGCTTAAGGCGAGCCGTGCACAAACGAATTATTGTTTTTATTTTTTTTATCCTCATTATTATTATTTGGCGATCCGGCGGCAGCGCTGTAGCGTAAAACGGGGTCACGCTGGATCCGGTTGCAGAATCGGAACATTTAATAATTTAGACCGGGGGAAATCCGATAAGGTACGAAGCTATTTTTCACAGGATGTCGAATAGCGGCACGGGGTCAGAACGCTACAACAACAAGCAACGCGAAAAATACGACGGCAGTGAATAGTATAGGAAAGGTAAACAAATTAGTTTAAATATATATAATGAAACTAAACAATTTTTTTTTTATCTAACCAAGTAAAGCCCACCGAGGAATTTGCTTATTTTTTCAGAAGCGACCTGGCCACAAATGAAAGCTAAACAAAGGTGGCTTGCCGCGTGGAAATTCAACGCGTGTTTCTAAATGTGGAAGGAAAAACCGGAGGACCTGGCGAAAAATCCACGCGACCACGGGGAGAGGACACGCAAACTCCAAATATACTCTGAATGCATGCTTCTACTGGACATGTGAAAAAGAACGTTATAGCTCATCAGACTACTCCAGCATACGCGATTCCGATTTTTACAAAAAAAATATATATAGAAATATTCTGTTTAGGAATCATCTTTTTGCGGGGTTTCTTTTTTCCCCTACACACGAGCAAAAGAGAAAGGGAACGAAACGAAACATTGATAGGCCGACTGACAGAACGAGAGACGGAGAGAGAGACGCCTCCCTTATATAGCCCCGCACTTTAACCGAGCGGCTATTTCCGTCGCTGCAAGTTCTCCCCGCTCGCTCCCTTTGTTGACCAAAGGCCAGCGGGCAGCCGCCCGTGGCTCGTGAGCGACGGCGGGAGGGGGGGGGGGTTCCACGTGCCACTAACGAAGGCCATCGCGTAGTCGGTGCCCCCCTCAATATAAAAAAACAATATTTTCTTTACTTTTTTTTCAATGTTTTTGTTATTTTACCAGGTAAGGCCCCACTGAGCTATATAGCTCATTTTTCAGCAGCGACCTGGCTGTCACAAATGACAGCTCAAAGAAAGTGGCTTATGTGGAAATTGGAGGGGGAAAAACCGGAGGATCCAGAGAAAAATCCATGCGACCACGGGAGTCGGGGTCGAGATCGGGATCGAACCCACGATCTCCTGTATACCGGGCGAGGTAGTTAACATCTCGCCACCGTGGCACCCCTAAATCAGTGGCATAGCGCGGCTGGCTAGCATGGGCCCTGATGCAAGGAATGAAATGGGCGACCCATCACCCCTCCCCCTCTTCCCTCCCCCCCCCGAAGGCGACCCACCCTGTCTGATATGACTCCCCCCACCCACCCGCTCTTGTAGCCCATCCAACCCATTAGAGCCCTGTGCAGTCACACCGCCTACACACCAGATTGCAAGGCCACTCTCCTAACTCTACACCCAATGGCTTACGAGAAAATCCCCTCCCCCTTGAATGGGCGACCACCACAAAGGCTTGCCGGGGGGGTGGGGGGGGTTTTGGCATCGGGTGGCGAGGTGTGGCCGGGAAGGTGGGGACCGGTGGCTGAGAGTTGTCGTCGGGCGTGTGAGGTTTTGTCCGGGGTTCTCCGGTTTTCGTCCCACGCTCGAAGCCACCCCAGACGTGGAACCGGTCACGCACCTCAATATAGCAAAACCCTCCCCCCCCCCCGTACTCGTGCGTAAAATAATAATTTGCATTAATCTTATTGTCATTTACTCCTTATCCGGTTACTATTGTTGCGTGACCAAACTATATCTCACTGTAGGGGTTTGTGTACATGGCATGGGACATTTCGGTGTTTTACAATTGTACCTGTCAGCACTTGATTTGTTATAATTTTCGTAAGCCAGGTCTCTCCGTCAAGAAACAACATTCTCTCGCTCTCTCGAGTCTCAGCAGAGTCTCGCGGCTGGTCGTGTTGATTATTGCCCCAAGCGTTCTGCACACCATTAGGCATCGCAAACAAAACATGAATCCGAGCAAGCTTCGCACGTCAAGAATCTCATCATCACGACTCATCCGTGGCTCCATCGCTTCGTCTATCTAGCATGACCAAGGGGGAGGTCGTTATTAACACAACGATGACAATCGTAATGATAATGATGATGACGACGACAAAAATGTGCGAGCAGACGGATGCGGGGGAATAGGAGCTAAGTTTGGAGGGCAATTACGAGTTATCGCCACGCTGCCGGAAGAGCCATTGGGTGGGTTTTTTTTAGCTCAAGGCTAAAAATTACAAAAAAGATGAATGAACGAATGAATGGGTGGGTGAGTGAGCACGAGTGACGCAAGCCGGTTCCATAGGGCAAGGTTTATTCCAGGACTTTTTCTGCAAACACACATTCGCCGTTTCGCCGTAGTCATCGTCATTGCCACAACGTCGACTTTACTCTTGGCCTTTTGCTTTTTCATTGTTCGTGGAAGAGCACGCGAGGGAGCGGTCACTGAACAGAAAGTTTCACGCGTGAGAATCAGGTGAACCCCCCCCCACACCCCCCTGCCAACGTCGTTGCACGATCATGCCATAATCTTTGCCGGCTTTTACGGATATGATACAATTAAAAACAAACTCCGCCGTGTGCGTCACAAGTTGTGGAAACGACCTCTCCCGTTCGAAGAAAATAAAAAAAAAGTCCCATAATGTGGCCCTGGAATCACTCGGCGTGTCGTGAGTCACCCAACCTGGGGGGAAAACCTCGCGCCGGCACTCGTAGTAAGCCACGGCGAGAATCGCGATCGCCACCAGCGACCGCCGTCACGTCGCCGTCATACGAGCAAAGTCACCACCGAAGAAGACAAGGTGGGGGTTCCACCCGCACAGCCTTGCATCCGGAACAGCGCACCAGAGCGGTGCTGGTGGTGTAGTTCCCCCAGTGCTGACGCCCACCACACCAGGTACTCATAAAAGGCTGAGTCGGCCTAGAGGAGACCCCAGGGCTGGTATAACATGTCACTGATGTTGGCTGTGTAGCAAGAACTCAGCTCAAATCGCTGGGTTCGTAGCCTTTCCACTGCACTCCCACTCCCCACCATCAACACCATCACCACCAAACTACCAACACAACCACCAACGGAGTAATCACTCACAACCACCACCAAACCCCGACCACTATGGTAACCTCACCTCCACCTTTAACCAGATACCCTCTACCCAACAACTAGTGCTTTCAACGGCTTAGCCTCCATCCAACAATCGCCACATTTACCACAGCCACTCAACCACCACCACCACCAGTCAACCGAAGCCTCCATCAGCCACCCACTGCTGCCACCACCAGCACCACCACGTTGGGTAGTCTCCACCACACCTGCAACACCATTACCAACAACACATCCGGTAATACTGTATGTCTGTTGTCCTCCCCCCGCACCTCCAATTACCACGGTCGGCTATGTACGCAGGGTGCGAAAAAAGTTCAACGTACATACATACAAATGCTTGTGCACGTTGATAAGTTGATTTGTTTGGCTGTGTCAGGTGGTGGAGGGTCTTACAGTGCAGATTTGGCCACATAATTAGGGTGGCTTAACCCAAAAACCAATCACGAATCTGGCCCGAATAATTTTGGTGGCAGGGTGGCAGCGCAGTGGCAGCACTCCGCGTCCTGCGGCAATAAGGGCCTGGGTTCAATTCCCGACTCGGGCGCTCTTTCTTTGTGAAGTTTGTACGTCCTCTCCCCCTGGCCTCAGGGGCGGAGCCACAGGGGGGGCTTGGGGGGGGGCTGGGGGGGCTGGGGGGGCTGGGGGGGGCTGGGGGGGGCTGGGGGGGGGCTGGGGGGGGGCTGGGAGAAAGTCGGTAATCGGGATAACCGGATATCTGGCTGCTGCAAAATGCAGGCTGCCACCTTGTGTGCTGCCCTACAGGCTGCTTGAGCGGCAGCCTTGCGAACTTATCGAACTTATTAGCCACATCAGCGGCTCCGA